CGTCAGCGGCAAACCGCACCTTTGTATGCCTCGCGGGATGCCCAGTTTCTTGCCCAGCAGTCGCTCACTACAGCAGTCCACCAGACGTTTGAGGGTATAGAGACACTCTCGGAAGGTGGAGAAGAAGGGGTAGTGGCTAAGCACGCACAGGGATGTCAGAGTACTGTTGCGGGACCGGCTCCCCGCCTTGGCCCGGCGTTTGCCCCGAGGAGACTGGTTCACATCCGGGGTGGAGTCGGCACTGGGAGGCTGCAGGGACGAGCCACTCTCCGAGCTCTCAGTGCCAACCTCTTCTGAGGCACAGGCAGCACGGGGTCCTTCCTTGGCACGGGACCCTGCCCCACCCTCCCCCTTTTCCTTAGGCATTCGCTTTTGGAAGGAGCGGTAGAAGTTAACACAGATGCCATAACGTGTGACTCCAGTGTCCTTGTCAGTGAGGGTGAAGACAAAAGAAGTGTCGTCCCGCAGGCTCATGCGCCGCTGCCGCACACTCAGACAGCCCTCTGGCTGGCAGAAGAACACCACATCCGGGGGCAGGGGAAACTCAGCGTGATCCTCCAACGGGTATCGCCGCAGCAGTTCAGGAGTCTGGGCCACGCTATCGCTGCTCGGGTGCCTGAGAATACAAAGACAAATTCAGCAGCCTGAAGGAACAAGACGCTCTTTCAAATGTAAACCACAGTCAAGAAATAAATCTCAAAATACAGTGTAGGATAGAGTAACCTAACTGCAGGACCTTGGAAAACATGAGTGCTGCTGGCCACATTTAGCTGGTAGGCTAAATGAAGTCTGCACTGTCATGAAGACACCTATCCGGAAATGAAGGGAAAACGGCAACAATAAAACGATCACTAACACCTTAAGATGATTAGCACCTTTCAAGGTGTATTAGCTAATGAATGACCAAAAGAGCATAGGTAGGTAGAGAAGGAACACAATGTACTTTTCCTTTTTACAATATAAGAAACCTGGGGGATACAGAGTATATTTGCTCAAATCACAAAGATGCTACTTAAGAGCAGAATTTTGCTCTGTCTCTGTTCCTTCACCCCAATACTCTCAATCCACCTGACGGTGTTGTTTTCACTACTGGCATCAAGGTTCCTATCAGGGTAAAATAATAGGCGAAGAATGAGACATGCAAAGCAATGTGGAAGCAGGGAAGGGGAATAATTACACATTTTGTGGCTACCTTAGATGACAAGACAAAAATTAGTCTCTTCTTGGTTACCTGGCTCCCACAATCACTAGATAGTCAAGTAATCGAGGACAGAACTTCTTCTTTTGCACCATGGTTCCAATTCATCAGTTCATCTCAGAAAAACTTCAAGGCACCAAGCAAGGAGTCAATGTTCCCAGGAGGAATTCTGATATTATCTGAAAATCTAAGTCTAAAAGGAAAAAAGCACTGATAAGATCCACTGCTGTGCACAAGGGACACATCCCTCTCAGCTTCATCCCAGCCAAGGGCATAAGTCAGAAGGTCTTCCATTTTAGTACTAAAGATAGGAGAACCTGACACTTTTCCTAGCCTGGAGCTCAGTCCAGGTTTATGAGCTCACAGAGTCAAATGTCAAGAAGTAGGACAAATAACGGCTCACCTCCCCCTCCCTACAAACCAGCTCATTTCCAGCCTCACCCCTGGGGCTCTGTTTCTGAAAAACAGGCCCAATTAGCCTAATCTGGACTCGGTCCTCAGGATAACAAAAATTAAGTCATTTTCAGGATTGCTGCAGGGTGGATCAGGCTCAAACCAGACTCTCTAATCAGCACTAATCTGCACTCCTAGCTCTAGATGGAAACCTAATTATTCTCTGTTTCAACATTCTGCATTCAGCTTGATGTGAAACTACCACATAGATTGTATAGTTAATTGCACTCAGACAATAACGACAGCTGGCTACTCTACCCCGTGCAATCTCAAATGAAGAATATCTATGCCCCAATTGCTTCATCTAAACCATTTTTCTCCCCTTTTCAAGCAAGAAAGGGGCCCAGTGGCTACTGCTACTAGCTCTGCCCTTGGTGCTGAATCCATCTTTCTCCTCTATTCTGTTCCCAGGATGGGAATCAGTAACACAATACACACAGATGAGGCCTTGTCCTATATCTTACAAGATTTCTGCAAGGACAGGGAGAGGTGCTCAGAAAAACTTCTAAACCATAATCCAAAAATTAAGAAAAGCTTACACGGTCTGAATTATAATTTATTTCCTATCAGGTCTCCATACACTTCTCTAAATGAAATGTTTCACTCAACTATAAGGCTATTTTCAGTGCTTCTAAGATTTCACCTCTGAGCTCCACACACAGCCATACTAAGACCTTGTTCACTATACACACAGAGAGACTCTCATTACACTCATACACACACACCACTCCCTTCTTTGCTGCTGCGTGCACTCCCATACACACAGACATACACGCTCCCTGTATGCTTAAGGCCCTACTTGATTTAGATAACGAGTAGAAGTTCTATTTAGATAACGAGTAGAAGTTCTATCTTTTTTCTCTTCTACTTAATAATAAAAAAGACCTATTTACACACCTCTCAAATCCTCAAAATACTGCCCCCTCCTTTCTCTTGCTCCCAGTAGAGGACCTGCAGGTAATAGGATTCAGTTTTGTCTCCATAGCGACTCTGGCTCCCAGCACTATTTATAGCAGAGCCACAGCTCCTCCCCTGCTTGGTGACCGCAAAGTGCTAGCAGCTGCTACTCTAGAGTAGGCCAGGGCCCATAACAATTCATTCTCCTTGGATATGGAGACACCTCTTCCACCGACAGCACCTGCTAATTATTAGGTTATCTCCTCCCCCTTCTGTCTTTAGTTTGCACTTTGTCCTAATTCTGGATTTTGACAGAGATATCTCCTTTCCACACAACCAAAACCAAGTTTCCAAGCATGCCATATGCTCATTTCCAGGCATCATTACCACCCAAAAAGTCCTTTGGTTCTCTCCACTTCTGTGGAGTCATGAGCATCCTGCAGAAGGCAGGGCACTGTTACAGAGCTGAGCTCAGCTCCTCCCAGGCAGAATGAGAAGGGGAGGGAAACACAGAAATGAAATGGGAGATTGGTAAAAGCAAAATTCATTCTATAAACAATTATGTGGAAAATGCCTAGGGTGAGAGCCAAAGTATCTTAAAATAAAACAGAATTTACAGGACCAGAGCTCAAGGCTAAGCCTTGAAATCTCTTTACGTTGAAAATCAGGAGCCCCTTCTTGCCTAAATCTCAAAGATCACACCCAAAGCATCTTCTAATACATTAGGCATCAGACTCTACTCTTGGTGGGATCTCAGCCTCTCTCCACTGAGAATTATTTGATAAAACTCAAGTCATTATCCTCCTCTATAGTGCTGATCTCCCTCCAGAGCCACAACGACCCTGAGATCTCGTGACTATTCTAGCCACTAGTGATAGGATAGATTTTTAGCCACAATTCATATCTCATTAATAGCCAGTGCCTTCAGTTATTCAGATTGCAGAGATAACCAAGGCTTTTCTTCCCCTTCTCTCCCCCTTTCCTCCTCATGAAGACCCTAAGTCCTCTAACACCACCTACAACTCACACTCCATCTTCGTATCCACCCAGGCTCAGACTCTGCTTCCTGCCTCAACCATATTTCCTAACGTGGAGCCCCCGGCTCCTAGCTCCTATATTGCAAAAGCATCAAGCTCAAAACGCATACCTATCTGCTCAAGTCCTACATCACCATCCACACCATCCAGATGCCGATTTAGAATCCACAGACCTTGAAGTTATCTCTGTCTTTTCAACCTACAAATGGCCACGTTAACCTATCTTTTGGATTCATCCCTCGTTTTGGGCAGGATATCATAGTAAAACCACAGGAACCGGAGAGCGATATGACATCTTTGCTGACGTGAGCATAACAGGAGACTCTCGCCCTCTTCCCCCTCCCCAGGCAGTGACCTTGCAAGCGCATCAGCACAAACTGGTCCAGCGCGGGGGAGAATGAGAGCAAGGAGGCAGGCCATAGGCAGGGTTGGGGAAGAGGGAAGGGCAGGCAAAGGAGGAAGAATTTAGAGATGCACGAGGATGGGGAGGGAAGCAGTTGCAGGAAAGATTAAACGGTGTCTCCACTCTCCAACAAGCCAATTATGAAACACCAAATTAAAAAAGAAAACAATTTTTTTAAAGAACCAAACGTGGTTCTCCAAACCCTAATCAAAAATTAGGCGCGCGCACGCGCGCACACACACACACGCAGACGCGCGCGCACGCGCGAGGTGCTTATCCTGGCTCGGGCCCGGGGCTGGACAGCTCTGCCCGCCCCCTCACCTGCTGGACAGTTCTCCCCAATCCCGGAACCAGCGCCGCCCGCCAACCCCGCAGGCAAGGAGCCCGCAGCCCGCACACCCTCGGCGGCCCGGTGCGCCCCGACTTCTAGCCCCGCCTCCTTCCCTACGGACCCCCCCCCCAACCCGCTCACGAGACCCCACGCCCCCTCACACTGCCTTAGGGCCTCCTCAGAGGCCCCTTCTCCCGTAGAGCTCCTGTTTCCTCTCAGGGCCGCAGGAGTGCTCCTAGAAGCCCGGTCCCAAATACCCCTCCAGGGCCCCCAGGGCCAGACCTTCCTACCTCCCGAGCCTCGGGGTACCGGGCAGGCCCGGCCGGACGTCCCCCGGCAGCTGAGCGTCAGTCGCTCCCCGGCGCCGCTGCGAGCGCCCGCCAGTTCCGCGTCTGCACCGGGGGGCGCGTACCACTCTTACCCGGGGAGGGGGGGCAGGCGGAGGGGGGACCGGAGGCCGTACCATTCACCCCCGGGGGGACAGGGCTGCACCAAACCGGTGGAGCCGACCTCGGGAGAAGGGCGGCTACGCACACACCTATCCGTGTGGGAGTGGGAACGCTTTGGGGAGCGCTGGGCCAGCCCAGCGCCGCTGCGTGCCAAGGGGAGGACCCAAAAGAATACATTTTGTTTAGGTTGCGCAAACAGACTTTAATTCGACGTGGTAATAGAGTCCATTTGGACGAAACGTGGGTTAATCTGGATGCGACTTCTCAAGATCAGCTGCCCCTGAGACTTTCCGACTGTCCCCCGACATCGCACCTCCCTCCCCCCGCACGCGATTTGGAAGTGCCCAGCCGGCTGGGCTGGAAAGCCGGCCGCCCCGGCGGTGGAGCCTACCAATTCAGGGGCAGCGGGGGGACTCGAGGCCGGAAGGTGCGGCCGCGGTATCACCTACACAGGGAGCGTTCCGAGGAAAGGGGGCGGGAGTGGCACCGCGGTGCCCGCTGGGAAATGGAGTCCAGCCCATTGGAGAGGCCAAACCCGAGTCAGGGCACCCTCCACCTAGCCTCATGGGACTTTTGTTCCTGTCCCACAGGGAGTGGGGGCCGGGAAAAGGGCCTCTTTTTCAGATGCCAATGGAAAAACTAAGGCATTATACGCAGGCACGCATACAATTGCATGGCTGAGGCATTAGTTCTGAAAACCCGACACCGACTCCCCCACAGAAAGATAACCCGATCGCACTCGGATCATTCAGGGGGGAGGGGGCATCTAGCCTCAGCATCCCATTTACCCTCACGGAGGTGCCCTCTCACTGCCAAGGCTGTCATTTGACTTGCCTCCCTCCTCTGAGTCTGGAGGCGGATTTGAAAGGACGCAGGCTTCCCTCCTCAATGCCCGGCCCTCACCCCCAGTCCAGAAATTGTTTCTTATCCTGTATTCGTTTTGGTCTTCCTGCACAAACAGCGCCAGACCTATCAGTGAGGCGGCCCTGAGGCATGTATGGCCAAGCCGCAGAGTGACAGCAGAGAATTTGTCTTGCGGCCCTGTGGGGAAAATAGGAAGTGGTGGAGGCAGGATGGGCAGGGCCCTGGAGAACCTTGTGCAAAGTAGCCCCCAGGTTCGTCCGTTTTGTGGGGTCAGTACAGTCTCCGCATGGATCACAGCTTTAGCAGGACCCCCACCGCCCAGCAGCCACAAAACTCCCAACCCTTTGACTCTCCTTTAATGCCATGTGAGGATCTCTTTTGCCCAGGTCCCAGGAATGTTTGCCCTTCTCAGTCTGCTCCTCCTCTAGGAGGCAGCCATGGGGCCTCAGCCATGCAGCCCAGAAAACAGAAGATATGGGGGAAGAACAGTCATTCATTCACATCCCAGATCTCAGAGAGCAGTGGTGGAAGCTTTTTGTCCTGCAGGCGCAGTGCAAACACTTGCTCTGAGTGGACGCTGCTCAGTGTCCGGAGGCTCACCAGTTTCATAAGCATCCGTGGGAACATCAGTCGGTCCTGGGGAAAGGAGAGGGATAAGTACACCTTTGTCTCTCCCCAGAAAAGAGAAGCAAGGGGAGGGGAGTTGTGCAATAGGTAGAGAATTATCTGTGCACGATGTACTCGGGAGGGATTCTGGAAGGGAAAGTAAGTGTGTCAGGGAATGAGCCTGTGGAGAGGAGGAAAAAAGGCACCATGGGGAGACTCACATGGGGGTGGTGGATGGAGACGTAAGCATGCAGGGCCTCCACATATGTGTGTTGCAGCCTCTCTACCTGGAGCTGGTCCTGCACGTTGGGCCGGTCTATAGGTCACCAACAGAGTTGAGGAGCAGGTCTGGCCAGGGTCTCAGTTGCATACCCCGAATCAGAACCAAAAAAGAGGGACCTGCCCCACCCAACTTCTCCCATCCCAAAGTAACAGAGCAAGGGCCTCCACTCCCACAACGCCTGCCCTGTGGGGCCCGCAGCCCTCCTCGGTGCAAGTCTCGTGCTCGTTTTCCCTCTTGCCCCTCCTCCACACCTGCAGAGAAGATGCTGATGGCAATGAGCAAAGCAAACTCAGCATCATTGAGTTGCAGCTCATTCATGGCTCTGGAGAACTCGAAGATGGGGTTGATGAACTCCACCTGCAGCCCTGGGGAGGAAGAAGAGAGGCTGGGACATGTGCCATGAGCAGCAGGAACTTCCTTCTCTCCTCCAGCTTGTCAAGGAACTCAATAAGAAGTCTCCAGGGCTCTGTTGTGTAACTTTGGGCAGGTTTCTTAACCTCTCTAAGCCTCATCTGTGAGATGGGAAGCATATCTGAACTTATAAGACTGTTGTGATGGTTAAAGGATAAAGCACCACTTAGCATTGGCGTGGCACATAGATGGTGCTGACGTAAATGATAATAAGAATTCTGATTTCTTATTAGAATTCTTGAGGGCCCCACATTACTAGAAATAAAGGCACCTCTTATTTTTGTTTATAAAGAAGACTCACTGGCAATTGACCTTACTTATTTGAATACTAGAGATACATTTCATGTTTCACATTCCAAGGGGAACATAGCAATTTGGTTAAGGGTGTGGACTCTGGCGCCAGATTGCCTGGGTTTGAGTCCTGGCTCCACCATTTATTAGGCTGTGTGACCTTGGGTAAGTTATTTAAGCTCTCTGGGCCTTGGTCTTCCCATCTGTAAAATGGAGATAATAATAGTATCTACCTCATAATGGGTCCTTAGAATAATATGTGGAACATATGGTAACTAACATATAAGTATTTGTTAAATAAATAATAAATTTTAAAAAATAGAGCCAATCTTCTTGCTGAGGAGACTGAAGTGCAACAAACCGTGACCTAAAGTCAAGACATCTAGAGAACACTTCTCCCATACACTCTGTCAAAATCTCCCCACCCCACGCCGCCTAGGCTTTCTCAGATTTCTTTTAGCAACCATCTGCTAACTTTTCCATTCGAGGCCTCTTGATTAGTCACTTCCTGTACTTTCACCCTGATGTTTATCAAGTGTGTGTTGATCCATTTCATGGACAAGCCCCATTTGATAAAGCATTTCTTGGTGAGGTGTTGAGCCTCGAATTGTGCCGACCAGCCCCTTTGGAGAGAGAGGACAAAGGTCCCAGAGCTGGGTTATGCACCCTGACAGGGTCTGCTACTGCTCGCTGAATAACGCCTCCCTTGCGATCAGGCCACATCATTAGTCACCCACCGTATGCAGCATGTGGTAGTGGATGCAGAGGGGGAGGGAGACCTGAGAAAAGAGCACCCCTGCTCCTTCTCCCCAAGACCTCACCAACAGAATGAGAAATGAAAGGCAAACAGGAGGCATCAGAACTGCTTATATAAATGGATCTATAAATAGGCACAGATTCAGATAGCACAAGTCCACAAGGGCTGAAGCAACATGCAGACATGAGAACTGGGAAGGCTCCAGAAAGGAGGATGCTACGAAGGAGGAAAAGGCCATGGTTAAGAAGGACTGGGATAATAACCATTTCAGGAAAAGGGGTTTGGTAGAGAAAGGGTGCAGGGCTGGGCTTTTAAAGCAGGAAAAAGTCATTAAATCGCCCCTATTAGGTGCCCAGACATTCGGGCAGCACACCAGGCACTAGAGAAGGCAAGAGGTGCCAACACAGCCTCACCACGCCCTATAGTTAAGGGAGGCCTTCCTAGAAAGTTCACTGAGTGGCCTGTGTTGGGACAACAAGAGGCACCTGAGCTGGCCTGAGTCACTTGAAACCAGAGAAGACTTTATGAGCTCTGCTCTGGAAACCAGGACCTACTAGCCCCAAGAACGGAGCCAGCATCAGCCATGGTCTACAGTTGTTAGACTCCTTGCTCACCTGTTGAACCTTAGTTCTAATCCCTCCAAAACACCCTCAGCCTTCCATCCTTTCCCAAACCTGCTCCCATAACACAAACATTACCAGCAATTGAATAGGAGGAAACCAACACTGCTTAGCCTGCAAGCAAGTATCAGAGAGCAGCAATGTGAACTAATTCTTGGAGAAAATACTCCAGGTACAGGATGGGGACAGAAGCAGTCACTCTTATCCTAAAGCTGCCCCATCTGGGCACGTCTGCCATGTTTCAGCTCTGGTTGCATGGCTGATCAGAAAGAGCAATTGAAAAAGAGAAGGGGGAAATCAGTCCACGTGAGCCTTGAAGAGCACGTCTGAGAAAGATTTGTTATTGACTACAAAGCTCAAGGAGGTGACTTTCAAGCTTTTTTTCCTAGCTGTAAAATCTTTCCTTCAAGCAAAATGTTACACAGAAGCACACTCTATAATGCAGATTTAAATGGAGCTTCTTGTTTGGCTAAAGTAAGAATAAAGGACATTTCTGTGCCTCTCTGTTTCTCCTCTAAGGTGACACTTCTGTGGAACTCCCCCCTCGGGTTCCTTGGAACACAGTTTGAGAACCACTGACCTAATGCACCAGAGGACAGGTGTCTATTAGGAGCAGTTGAGAGGGGCCTATCAACATTCCAACTTTCTGTCTTGGAAAAACAAGTGGGACCTTCCCTTTACAGACACCCAAACCTTGGACCTGTGGCTCTGTCGTCACTATGGGCCCCACGACAAAAAGCTTCTGTCCATCCCACCCAATTCTTTTGTGATCTTAGTTCTTACCTGCTTTGGCGAAGTCTTCCCGGTTATAACTGAAATCCTTGAGGAAGGTGATACTCTCACTCCCAGGGTTGTACCTCCGGGATGTCTCCAGAAGCATGACCTGCACACAGGTAGCAGACCTCAAATAGGGACTCTGAGGGAAGGCCAAGCCCCTCATCCCTACTTCCTGGTGGCTTTGGCTCCCCAGCTGGCTGTCTGCAGGCCCCTCCCACAGACAATCCCGCTCTGGTTCTCCTTCACCCCTTGGCCTGGCCTGCCACCTCGATCGCAGAGGTCTTCAGCAGGGCGATCTGGTCTTCCCGGCTGAGCTGCAGGAAGCCAGGCAGCTGTTTGGCGAAATCGACGATCTCCTGCACGGAGACGATGGCCAGCTCCGTGAAGTGGGCAAAGCGCTGCTGCCGGGCCTCCCGGCTCTGGGGATCTGGTGCCATGGGCCAAGGCTACCCAGAAGGGCAAGGAGGGAAAGAACAAACCACTCGGAGTCGGATATCAAGAAGCCAGCTGGTGCTCTGGGCACAGCCACCTCTCCCCAGGTCCCTCAGTTACCGTGACTCGAAGCTGGTCAGAAAAGGAGCGTCTGTTACACTGTTGCTGGGCAGCCACCAGCTTCTCAATCATGCCCAGTTGCTCTGGGCTGAGCTGGGGCAGGACTTGGGGGTCTGAGGGCACCCTCGGGGGCATCGATGTGGCCTGAGCCTGTTCCTCCTCTTGCCGCTTCAGTTTCTTCAGGCGGATCTGTTCTTCTGACAGGACACCTAAGGACAGAGCCAGATGTGAGGAGGAGAGAAGAGGGAGAGACTGGAAGCAAGGAGGGGGCAGAGGGGTAGTCTGAGTTTCCAGGAAAGCAGAGAGCATTGGGTAAAAGGAAGGAAGAGATTTTAATCCACTCTTAGGTCCCGTGTTGGAAAGCCCTGTAGGCTCAGTTGCCTGTTTACCCTCACACCCTGGCACCCACATGTGCCCTCTTTCCCCGACTCCTGTCCCCAGACACTCACACTCCTCCCGCATGCCGGCCTGGCGGCATTTGCGAAGGCGACACTCCTGGCACTTGCGACGCATGTAGGTGTCCATGGGGCAGTGGCCCCCGCTGTGGCAGATGTAGCGGGCCCCTTTGATGACACTGCGGCGGAAGAATCCTTTGCAGCCCTCGCAGCTCAGCACGTTGTAGTGGAAGCCGGAGGCCTTGTCCCCACACACACTGCACAGCTCGTTCCCCAGCATTTTGGGGGCTGGCCCCTTTTTCCGCTTTTGTGGACGGAGCTCTGGATGCAGGGAAGAGCCTTAATGTTCTTCTCCAAGGAAAAAGCTTGGTGCCCAGTCAGCCACGGCCCTGGGCACTCAGTGACCTTCGTTCCCTTCATTATATGAAGTCTAATCTTTCTATTACAAGAAAGTAGCGCTCATATGCCAAGTGCCATTATGTACTAGGTACTGTCTGAGCCCTTTATATGCATTGATCCTTACAACAACCATAAGAGATAGGTACTATTATTTATTATTTCCATTTTGCAAATAAGGAAACAGGCTCAGAAAGGCCTAACGTAGAGAGAAAATTTACACTCATCACTCAGGCCTAGTTGACGCCAAAGCCTTTTCACTTAACCATGATCTTATAAAGAGCCCCCAGGTACCCCCCCCCCCCCGCAGATCCAGGGAGCCCTGACCTCCTCCAAATCCAGCAGCTCCTCACCTGTGGACTCTGGAGGGGCCTCCACCCCGGGGAGCAGGGCTGTGGGCTCTGTTGCCTCCAGCCCCACCCCCGAAGTGCCCCCAGTAGATTGAGGCATGCTGGCTTCCTCCCTGAGGTTGCAGCTGCTGCCTCCCAGCTCCTGGCCACTTGCATCTTGTGCATCTGGCTCCCACAGCTCCACTGCAGAGTCTGAGCCCCGAAAGAGAGGCACAAGGGAGTCTCAGGTCCCTCCTCATCCACTTTTCCGGTGTCCTCCTGGGAAACTGCAAACTTATCTCCACCCCCAGAGGGCAGCAAAACGTTGGTTCAGGGTTTGGGACCCGGGGGTCTGTGTGGGCTCCAGGGTCAGTCACTTGTAGACCCCTGCACCTCAATATTTTAAATGAGGGTGTCAATCTTTGTCCCCTTGAGGGGCTGACGTGCAACTATTTCAGAGATCAGACAGAACTCTTCAAAGCCAGAGCTGGGCAAGTACCGGACATGCCAACCCTCCCCAGCAGCAAGCCCAGATGATTGAGAAGGACTGGCTGGTGTCCATAAGGGCCAGGCACCAGAACCTGGGCAGAGGTGGTGTGGGCAGAAGGAGGCAAGCAATACCAAGAATGGCTCTGGACTGCTCTCCGGGGGAGGGCAGAAGGGAGGTAGTGAAGGAGGCTGATTTCTGTAAGAGAAGAGGAGCTGGGGCCTGGGCTCAGGGGAGAGGACTGGAGTGAAGAAGCTTACCAGGAGAAACATCAGGCACAGGGGCCTTCAGCCACAATGACATCTCTTCCCGGAGCCCTGGACATTACCAAGGGACTGTCCTGCAGGAATGACCCAGGTTACACTCGTCCAGAACTGGGCTCCCTTCTGGCCTCAGCAACCCTCTCCTCCTGATCTTGCCTTTTATCAGTACTAACATGTCAGCTAACATTTACTTGCCATATATATATATATATATCAGCCTGTGCTAAGGCCTTACATGCCTTCCTTACAATATCCCTATGAGGTCAGGTCTATTCTTAAGCCCATTTTACACATGAGGAAACTGAGGTTCAACAAGATTAAGTAAACTGCCTATGGCCACACAGTTAGGGAGTGGTAGAGCCAAGACTCCAACTCTGGTCTCTCTGACTCCAAAGACCAGGATCTCAACCACCATGGCACCTTTTCTCCCCAGGGATCCCTCCAGGGCATGAGGGAATGTTTGGGCACATCTGCCCCACTTCTGTCAGAGCCCCTTCCCCTTCACTCCAGCACTGGGGACAGCCCGAGTTGGCCAGGACCAGGACATGGAATCGAGGCTCATTCCACTCAGTGAGACACACTACTTGTTAGACAGCCTCACTCTTGCCACTTTCCAGGGTCCCAGCACAAACCTCTTGCCTCCAAGAGTCACCCCAATTCACACACAGGACCTCCTCTGCCAGCCCCCCTCAGAAGTTATTCTGGAACCTAAATAGAATCCTGTCACTGCCTGAGCTTCCATCACTATCATCATCCTTCACTTCTCCCCAGAGACCCTTTTCTAAGAGCCATAGGACACCCCCCCAACCCCAAACACACACACACAGCCCCGGGCCAGTGCTCGGAGCAGACCCACCGAATGCCTAGGCCGCCAGACTTCCTGGCTGGGGCAGTCTCTGGAGCCCCCTTGCTGGGAAGGGAGGATGGTGCAGTCCCTTGTCCAGAGGCCTCGGCAGCTGAGGAGCCGGAGCTGAGCAAGAGAAGGGCCGGAGCCCAGGGAAGTAATGTGTGTGAGGGGGGGAGGCTGAGGGGAGGGACTCCCAAAGGGTCGGGCCACCTCTCCTTCCTGCCCAGCGGACCGGAGAGCCGGAGCCGACCAGCCGACCGACTGGAGCCCTGGCCTCCTTGCCCCCGCCCACGGGGCAGCTTCCCCACCACGCTGACTCCTCCCCAGCCGGCCACCCCCTCAGCCCAGCACCACCCCTGCCCCCCTACCCCCAGCCACGACAGTCTGCATTTCCCTGCCCAGTTCCACATCTCTCCCCTTCCTCTCCTCACCCCGGCGGCTCTTAGCTGCTTTTACAAAAGGACTGCCTCCCAGACACCCCCATCCCAATCCCGGCAGCCTCCAGAGTTGTTCCCTCCCCTCCATAGGCACTTCGCGGAGCAAAGGTCCCAGCAGCGCCTGGAATTGCAACACTGAGCCCCAGCCTGCTTTCCCAGCCTCCCTACTCCTCCCCTGCCCCTGGGAATGGGCCAGGCAGCTCTCCCCACTAGCCCCAGGCCTCAGCCAAACTGGCAGAAGTCCAGGGGAGTAGAAAGGCAGGTGCTGGGCCTTCTAAGGAGTCTCTGAATGTGGTGCCCTGCGGGGGCCACACAGACTGGAGGAGGCCAAGAGAGAGAGGGACTGGTAAGCAGTTGGCTATCAGCAATGGCTGGCCCTAGATGGGGTCGGGCTGAAGACTGTAGACCCAGGTGCCAGCCCAGGATGGACCTGCGAAGGTATGCAGATTCCCTCACCTGGGAAATGGTTCCATTTGCAGTGATGGAGGGCTCTATCCAGCAGCTACTGAGACTAGAGCTGTAGCCTTCCTGCCCCGTTGCCTGGAACATAAGATCCATCCCTGAATGTAGACACCACATTTTATTGATTTCATCTCCCCCTCAGCCCCTGGAACAGGGCCTGGCATAGAGTAGGCAACAGAGTAGGTACTGGGGTCCTGTTTGTTGAATGAATAACTAAACAAGAAAAATAATATGATCCTCTTCTATCCTATACTTGTTAGCTCCAGTCAATTTCATCTCAGCAATGTTGGTTTAGCGTTTCGGCTCTGGGCTTAGATTTTGGGTTCAAATGCTGGCCTTGCCTCTGCCTCTTATTAGCTGTGTGATTTTGATTAAGCAAGTTACTTAATGTCTCTGAACCTCTGTTTCCCCATCTCTAAAACAGGAATAATAATAATGGTTTTTGCCACATAAGGTTGTCATGAGAATTAAAAAACATATCACGGTACAATGTGTGGCACATAGTAAGTGTTCCAGAAACGGTGGCAGTTACTACCTTTCCAATCCTTTCAGCTACGGATCTTCCTGTCACCTTGAATCTGTGCGTTGTTAATCTTCCGAGTGCTTGTTTCCATACACAGACCCCTCACTATCTCTGTTATCCTTAGAGCCGCCCCGGGAGGGAGGCAGGGTAAATATCATAAGCTGTCTTTTACAGAGAACACTAAGCTCCCGGGAGAGCCTTTTCCAGGACCGCACACAGTGAGTAGCCGAGCTGGGATCAGAATCCAGATGTCCTCACTCCAGTGCCTGTGCTCTTTGCTTCTCCTGTGTCCGAGTCCAGGGTACTCGTGTCTTGCTGCCTCTCAGGTCTGCTGGAACAGTGAAGTGCTGAGACGGAAGAAGCTGGGGCTGGGGGGCTGCAGTGGGAGAGGCAGGGAGCCCTGGGGATGCTTCAGCTCAGATGTGGGGGGCGAGGAGCTAAGGTTACTGCTGGTTGTTCACCCCCTGCCCCACTCCCAGTTTCCTGCTCACAGGCTCTTCCTGTTTTGCTATGAACTCCGGTTCCCATGGGCCCCACATTAAAGCATAGAAGGACAGGGGGCCAGGGCAGGCAGCCAGAGAGATCGAAACAGAGATGAACAGGGCACCAGGGAAGAGGAGAAGAGAGGGAACAGGAAAGAGTAGACAGAGGGTGTGCGAGAACAGGATAGGAGAAGGGAAGGGAAAGCAGAAATAGAAAAGGAGCTTCGTGAAAGATGGGAGGAAGCACAGGGAGGGGCAGGGGGAACAGGCGGGCCCCGGGGAGCAGAGACTAGAGAAGACAGCAGGCTGGGTGGTGTTGCAAAATCTGCCCATGTATTCATTTTCACATTTCAGAAAAGCCCCTCTTGACATCCCCCATCTCCAAGTTCTGCCTCCAGCTTTGCTCTTGTTCCCTCTCATCACAAGGTCATCCCTTCACGAGGCCCCCACCCTGGTCTGGGCACCTCTGAGTCATGAGCACAAGGCTCTCCATTCCTCTTACATGTGTTCCTCCCCCAATTTTCACAAGGCCCCAGATGTCTTGGGAAAGTAGAAACCAGGGACTCCAGGCCCTGGGAAACTGGAATTGTTCTGTCCCAGCGCTCACATCATCGACCCAGCTCCCTCCTTCGCCTGTCCCCATCCCCAGCAGCTCCAACACAGAAGCATAGTCACAGATGTCACTGAAACACCTGGTTACAAGGAACTTAGGATGTAACCTTGGTCTGATGACCTATCTTCTGGTGTTGGGAAAAGCCTCTCTCATCCCCTCCTGACACTCTAGTCTCCCCACAGCCCAGGGCCCAGGACCACACAGAAGCTTGGAGCCCTCTGACCCAAGCCAGAGCCAGCTGCTGAACAAGTAAGTGGGTCAGGGCGCCATCTTCCCCAAGCCAGGGAGTCATTCTCAGCCTTAAGTAGAGGAGAAGGGAGCATTACCAGTGCTTTACTGTCAGAGCCACCCCTTCAGGTTACAGGGGTTCAGGAGCCTCCCCACATGAAGACCAAAATCTGTTGGTGATATCTCCATAGAGTTTCTGGAGACCAACCATGGGACTTCTCCCTCGAGCCCGGTCGAATAGGCAGGTGATCTGCAGCTGGAATCACATGGCCCACTCTGCCAGATCCACCCCCAACAGCCCACAAGAGGTGTTAGGTGAAAGCCTCTCAGTCCCATGGGGCCTTTCCTATGTGTCCCTGGCTCCTAGAGGAGGCAACATGCCTGGGAATATCTTTGGGGATCTTCCAAGTCACATTTCTGACCCCCAGAAACTCTGGCGACTTCTCCTTGTAGGAAGGGGAACCTTGAAGCAAAAAGACGAGCATTCACCAGCCCAAGGTTGTATGCGCTACTGGATAACACCCCTCCCCTCCCGGAAAGCACTCGAATTCCCATAAAGCAGGCCACAAGGTACGGTTTGCAGGGATGGACAGGGACAGCTGCTTCTTGCTCCCTCCTTCACCGTTCTGGAAAGGTGCAAGGTGTGGTGGTCATCTTGCAGGCCACTCCAGTGACTTCTGCCCAACCTCCCAACCACAAGATAGAGAAGAACCCAGGAATTCCTGAGTTCGGAGATGATACAGAAGGCAGGAAGAAGAAAAGTAACATTGACATAGGCCCTACTACATACATTTATCTTTCTGTGTATTATTTTACTTACCCTCCTATGTAACCCTAGGAGATGGTTACTAGCAAGGGGACAAATATCAAAGAGCTGACTCAAAAGCTCAAACTCAGACTAACAAACAAAGCACCTCACTCCATTACACAAAACTGCCTCCCCAGATGGGAAAAATGGTTAACTCACCTGAATTTAGGTTCACATCCGCCAACACACAGTATTGCAGTGGTTTCCAAACCTGGCCTCATTTTCAGAGATTCTGATTTATTTGGTCTAGGGTAGGCCCACATATCTATCTATCCATCCATCTACATGTCTATTTTTCTTTTGGATCTGTAATTAGGAACCAATGTGTGGGGACCACAAAATCATCTGGTATAAAATATGTGGAAGTTGGAGGTCAAGAAACCAGGGCTCAGCTCTTGGCTGTACCATGTACTTGTGGTGTAATTCTCACCCTTCCTGGATTTGCTTCTCACTATAAAAACTGAAATAACATCTGCTCCATCAATTCCTCCTACATGGGATACTTGCAGGCACAAAGAATACAGACATACTTGAGCAAGTGGGAAGAAAAGCAAAAGATGAATTTGAGGGATTTTTCTTCTACTTGCCAAAATTTAATGAGCCCAAGATTTACATTCTGAAATCACAACGATCTGGCTAGTTTGCAAGGAGAGTAGGAGAAACATTAAAACAAAACACTCAAAAACTCCCACTAATACACAGTATTTTACCAATTAGCCAAGCCCCATTCAACCCCACCAATGTGAAAAGGTTTCCTTTGTTAGAAATCTCTTTATTGAAGGTATTTTGGGGCCACCGAATATAGGTTAGCAACGCAGTTTGAGCAGCCTGCAAGAAACAGCCCATTATAAAGACTATTTTGGGGGCTGCCCTGGTGGCGCAAGCGGTTACATGCGTGCGCTCTGCTGCGGCGCCCCGGGGTCCGCTGGTTCCACCCCGGGTGCGCACCAAAGCACCACCTGTCAGGCCATGCTGTGGCAGGTGTCCCACATAAAGTGGAAGAAGATGGGCATGGATCTTAGCCCAGGGCCAGTCTTCCTCAGCAAAAAGAGGAGGATTGGCAGATGTTAGCTCAGGGCCGATCTTCCTCACACACACAAAAAAAGTCTATTTGGGAATCAGAAAACTAGAGTTTTAATCCATTCTCCTAAACTGTGTGACCTTGGACAAGTAACTTCCTCTCTCTGGGTTTGTTGCCTTATCCAAAAAGTAAGCGGACTAGGCTAGATCAGGGATTCAGAGATGTTGATTTATGAAGCCTATGGGGAGTCTTTGTGAACCTCTTGGCATTATATGCAAAATTCCATTTATGTGTTTTTATGCGTGTGAATATTTTTCTGGAGGAGAGGGGACTAAATTTCCATCTCATTCATAAAGGGGCTTGTGATTAAACAAGAAGGTTAAGAACTATTTGGATACTCAGGCTTCAGCTCTCATTCTATTCATTCCTCCATAACAACTCGGGAAGCAAGTTTAGATCCTGAGGTATACATAAATAATTGAATCTGAAGTCCTAGGGCATAATGACTCTGCTTCCTCCCATATAGTTCTTTTTTATTTATTGATTGATTGATTTTTCCCCCAAAGCCCCAGTAGATAGCCGCATGTCAGAGCTGCGCATCCTTCTAGTTGCTGTGTGTGGGACGCGGCCTCAGCATGGCGGGAGAAGCAGCCCGTCAATGCGCGCCAGGGATCCGAACCCAGGCTGCCAGTAGCGGAGCAGGCGCACGCAACCGCTAAGCCAGGGGGCCGGCCCCCTCCCATATAGTT